GGGCTCACAGCATTAACAGATATAATAACAATAACAATAATAATAATAATTTTTATTAATACTAAGTTCATTTATTTATTTATATTTATTTATTTATACCCCACCAATCTGGGCGGCTTCCGATCAAGTGTTAAAAACAGTACAGCATTAAATATTAAAAACTTTTTTGAACAGGGCTGCCTTCAGATGTCTTTTAAAGATAGGATAGCTGCTTATTTCCTTCACATCTGAAGGGAGGGCGTTCCACAGGGCGGGTGCCACTACCGAGAAGGCCCTCTGCCTGGTTCCCTGTAACCTCACTTCGCACAGGGAGGGAACCGCCAGAAGGCCCTCGGTGCTGGACCTCAGTGTCTGGGCAGAACGATGGGGGTGGAGATGCTCCTTCAGGTATACAGGACTGAGGCCGTTTAGGGCTATAAAGGTCAGCCCCAACCCTTTGAATGGCGCTCGGAATTGTACTGGGAGCCAATGCAGATCTCTCAGGACCGGTGTTGTGTGGTCCCGGCAGCCACTCCCAGTCCCCAGTCTATCTGCCGCATTCTGGATTAATTGCAGTTTCCGGGTCACCTTCAAAGGTAGCCCCACATAGTGTGCATTGCAGTAGTCCAAGCGGGAGATAACCAGAGCATGCACCACTCTGGCGAGACGGTCTGTGGGCAGGGAGGGTCTCATCCTGCATACCAGATGGAGCTGGTAGATAGCCACCCTGGATACAGAGTTAACCTGCGCCTCCATAGACAGCTGTGAGTCCAGAATGACTCCCAGGCTGCACACCTGGTCCTTCAGGGGCACAGTTGCCCCATTCAGGACCAGGGAATCCCCCACACCCGCCCGCCCCCTGTCCCCCAAAAACAGTACTTCTGTCTTGTCAGGATTCAACCTTATTTACACTCTGCCCATCTGGCTGGGTTTCCCCAGCCACTCTGGGCGGCTCCCAGCAGAATACTAAAAACATGATAAAACATCAGACATTAAACAAGGCTGTGGGATGTGATCCATGAAAGACAGTAAAGTACAACATTCCTTGTACAGTGGTATCTTGTTTCATGAATGGGATCTGTTCCGGAGCCCCGGAAAGGATGCTGGACAAAGTGCAGCATCTGCGGTTTGCGCTTCTGCATATGTGCGTAGCGCAATTTAGCGATTCTGTGCATGCGCGAGCGCACTGGCGGAGGAAGAGGAGTGCACGGGGAGCGCACTGCCCCCGGAGGAGAACTCCATTGTCTCTTGAGACAGATGGGTACCAAACAAGGTTCTTAGCCAGACCAGTACCCGGTAGGTGTTGAATTGTGACTCTCACCTCTGCCTCCACTTCAGGGTCCTGCTGCCCAGTGTGTCAGCAATGCTCCTACAACCAGCGGCTCTACAGCAACGGGCAAGAGTTCATAGACCCGGACCATCCCTGCCAGAGCTGCCGGTGTCTGGTGAGAGCCAGCAGGGGACTCAGCTACATTAGTCAAAAAAACACTGTATTTTGAATGCGTTATAAACATGTATTTTTTAAAAAAATGATATTTATTAAGGTTTCAAAGAAAAGAAAGATTACATAGATAAAAAGAAAAGAACAAGAAGAAAGAGATAAAAAAGAGAAAAAATACAAAATACAGAAAAAAGATAAAAAACACTTAAAAACAAATCAATCTTTCCATACCTTACATTTCATTTCCTTGCTTCCCTGACCTCCTCTCACCCCCCCTTTTTTGTTCAATTAGTTAATTCAGCAATTCCTTTCCCTCTTTGTTTTATCTTAATCCTTTAACTTAATATATTATAACTTTAGATTCTCACCTGTTAACAATCCATTTTTACATCTTTATAACATTGCTGCTAAAACCACTTAACTTCATTTGAATGCGTTATAAACATGTAACACTAGATGGCACTGTAAAACCCAAAACCTTTCTATGCGATTTTACATTTTACATTACTTCCCCCCCCCTTTTGTTATGATGATTTAATTTATGACTTGCCATATTTTTCACTCCGTAATACGCACCTGGCCATAAGACGCACCTAATTTTTAGAGGAGGAAAGGGGGGAAGTCCTGGTTTTGGGGGGATTAGCTCACAGTTGTGCAGCTTCTTTTGCAAAGGGGAAAAATCCTGTTTTTATGGGGTTCAACTCACAGTTCTGCAGCTTCTTTAGGAAAGGAAAGGGAGCCATTTCTACAGTTTCCAGACGGATAATCTAATCAGCCAGTCCCATGTCGCTGGGGAAGCAAACGGCCTCCGTCTGCAGAACATTCAACAATGGAGGCCTGGGCAAGGGGCCGGAAAGGGAGCCAGCGATCGACCGCACATTCGCTCCATAAGATGCACAGACATTTCCCCTTACTTTTTAGGAGGGAAAAGGTGCATCTTACTGAGCGAAAAATACGGTATTTATTGTGGGTTTTTGCCTGTATGTAGATGCAGCTGAACGAACGTCATCCCAGCACGCCCAGAGGCCGTTTTCCTGGACGTTAGCTGTCTCACAAGCCAGATACAGTCATACCTCATGTTACGTGCTTTCAGGTTACGTCCCACGGTGACCTGGAAGTACCAGAAAGGGTTACTTCCGGGTTTCGCCACTCGTGCATGCGCAGAAGCACAAAATGACGTCACGTGCATGCACAGAAGCGACAAATCGCAACCCGCGCATGCACAGATGTGCCGCTGCGGGTTGCGCTCTTTTCATGTTGTGAATGGGCCTCCGGAACGGATCCCATTTGCAACCAGAGGTACCATCGTGATTAAGTGGGCCTCGCCAGTCCTTACCAGTCAGTTGAGCAGCTCAGGTCTTGCAAAGTCTGACCATCTTTGATCAGCTTTGTGAACTCTTCTGCAACCCATCGTTTTTTGTTTTTTTAAAAAATAATCTTTATTAATTTTCCAAAAAGGTTACATAGAACAAAAAACAAACCAAAAAAAGAAAAAACACACAGGAAAAAAAGAGTTCCACCTTTTCACACTCATTTTCAGTAACTTCTTTTCAAAACTTCCCCACGTCTCCTCCTATTGTTTTCCAACTCCAATTTATTTATTCAAGCAAGTTTTCCCCTTAAAATCCTGAAACTTAGTTTATTAAAATCACTTAACCCTAATTTAATTGAAATCATTTTAGTTGTAGAATTAGACTTTAATTTATTGTTGTACCTTAGCATTTTATTAACATATATACCTTAACCCTATATATAGAAATGAAAAAAAACCAAAGATATAAGCATAAATCTAAAAAAAGATACCTTTCCTAAAGTTGCCCCTATTTCCCTCCCACGGATTCCCCATTCTTATAATGATAATCTTTATTCTATGAAAGTAAGGAAAGAAAATTCCAAGCCCCCTTCGGACTGTTAAATCCCACCCTTCTCCCCCCGGTTTCAATCCTTAACCAAGATACATTTAGCCCATCTTTTTAGCCTGGTGATCTCACGTCCGAGGCACGCAAATCTTTCACAGTCCCTTTCAGCCGATTTCTTTGAAAGTCTCTCATACTTAACTCCCAGGATCGAAAAAGTATTTTCTCAATGCTGGCCATGGTTCTTCCAACAGGGCCTGCTTGTTTAAGGCCAGTACTCCAACGCTGTTTCATGAATCTATATGTCCCAAATAGTCCAACTTTCACCTTGGTCAATTTAGGTTTCTTCTTAGCAGATCTCGGTCTCTCTTCTCTCTTCTGTAATGTCTCGGCCATCCCTTCCTTCAGCTCCTCTTGCTTGGCAGATGTCTTTTCCTCCTCAATCTTAGGTTCTTTTTCTTGTCCAGCTGCCTGTATTTTAAACAACGAATCCCTTTCCAATTCAGTTAGTGTATTTTCAGATAACTTCAAGTTTGGAGGGTTCGTAGACAAAACAAGGCCTTTCTCATTCATCTCTAACAACTTTCCCATGAGAGAGGTCAGCTTCTCCAAGCCAGCACGTATTTCCTGTATTCCCTGTTTTAGTTCCATTCTTGTAATGTCCAAGAATCCCCTCTAGAGGGGTTCTGGTTACTTAGTGTTCTTTCCCTTTCCGATCCCAAAGTCAAATTTGTTTGTAACAATCTTTCTTTGTTTCCAATATTTTGTAACGATTTAATCGGTTAAAGTTTCAGTTTTCAGTTCTTCCAACTTTGACAGCTAGTTTGACAGCTGTCAAAGGTACCTATATCTCAACAGGCTCTTAACTTGGGTTGCTCCCGGGCTTGAGTAAAGTGGTACTTTATTCAAACAAAGTAAACTCTTGTCCTCCAGCACCTTAGCTTAGTTCTTTAAATCCGTGAGGTTTATATCTTTTATCCAATCACACCAATTCTTCCCGCAACTTTAGTTGGCAGGTCCTTGCTTTGCACTGTTAACAATATGGAGGAGACGGACTTCCTTTTTTTTCGGCTCCCCCGCTCGTGCCAAATCCAAACCGAAAATATTATAATCCAATTTTCAGATTACTCACGGGTTGTTGTTCTTGCTTTTAAGTCCAAATTTAGCAGGAAGAAGTCAGCGCTAACCGAAGAATGGCATGCGGCTTCGCTCGGCAGGGGGAGCGGAGGACTCACAGCACCATGCCGCTCCCTGGCACCCGATCCGTAGCCTTTAAAAAGGCTCCTTCACGAGTCGGGAGGGCGCTTACGGTGCCCGCCGAGTCACCATGTCCACGGCCTCCGTGTCCGTGGTTTTTGAGGGTCCCCGTGTCGCCGGCACGGTAAGACCCGGTCCCCTGCTAAGCCGATTCCCTCCGGAGCTCGGAGGGAATCCGCCATTAGCCAGTCGCGCCAACCCAGAAGTCCCCCCTTCTGCAACCCATCGTGAGCACAAATCGTCAGGAAACCAGAATCCGAAAGATATCTGGAGGGGTCCTGAGTCTGTGCAGTTTAGGCACGGAATGAACATACGCAGAAGCCACAGTTTTGGGGCAGAACCACTTGTGCTATGTTCTTTGGGAGGAAAAGGGCAGTATACAAATTTAATAGCAATAATAAATAACAATGCCTTCTTCTCCGCCGCAGGATGGCACCGTCCGCTGCTCCCCCACTCCCTGCCCACCGCTGACTTGTCCGCATCCAGAGAGGAGGCCTGGAATATGCTGTCCAAAGTGCCCCGGTGAGTCACTGAACGGGTAATTCCCATTTCAGCACCTGGAAAGGTGGGAGTTGTAGTTTGTTCAGGATGCTGAGAGACCCCCTGTTCCCAGCACAGTGCTACGGTTCCCAGGATGGATATCCACCCATCCCTCTTCACCGAGAACTCTAAGGACTGTAGTTCTCCAAAAAGAACAGAGGGAGGGTTGTCTCCTTAATAACTCTCGGTACCCAAACTACAGCTCCCGGAATTATCCATAGGGTAATTGGGCCTGATCCGGCCTGTGGGCCTTAGTTTGCCGACCTCTGGGGTAGATCCGCATGTACAGTGGTGCCTCGCAAGACGAAATTAATTCGTTCCGCGAGTTTTGTCGTCTTGCGATTTTTTTCGTCTTGCGAAGCACGGTGTCAGGAAAGTTTTGGAAAAGCTTCAAAAATCACCAAAGTCTTCAAAAACCTCAAAAAAGTCTACCACACCGCGTGCTATGAGTTGCTCCTCGAAGTCAAGTCGCAACTGTATTAACGGTGTTAAGAAAAAGGAAACAAACTTGCAAGACGTTTCCATCTTGCGAAGCAAGCCCATAGGGAAAATCGTCTTGCGAAGCAACTCAAAAAACCAAAAACCCTTTTGTCTAGCAAGTTTTTTGTCTTGCGAGGCATTCGTCTTGCGAGGTACCACTGTATATACTGTATATACTAAGTCTGCCTTCAGGGATCCAACTGTGAACTGAATGAGAGTAAACTACTTTTATATAATAATTGTTGGGTCTCTGGACCGTAATAAAGATTGATTGATTGATATAAAATAAAATAAAAAATTCCTTCCAGTAGCACCTTAGAGATCAACTAAGTTTGTTCTTGGTATAAGCTTTCGTGTGTATGCACTCTTCTTCAGATACACTGAAACAGAAGTCACCAGGCCCTTATATATAGGGAGAGGGTGGGGAGGGATATTACTCAGAAGGGTGGTAGAAATGGGTGATTGGCTGATAGGTGTGGTACCTGTAACTCCTTTTATATACTGTACACAAGATTGGGGCGTGTTTATTCTTTTAAGAGAGATATAAGGGAGCTTACCAGGAACCTAATAGTGAGAGGCTTACACGAGCCTGCAACCACCTACCCGCCGTGTGTTCAAAAGGGGAATGTGAAACTCTGATAAGTAAAGGAACTTGCTAGTGCAAGTTAGGAAGGGTATTGATAAACAGTACAGTCATACCTCGGGTTACAGATGCTTCGGGTTGCACGATTTAGGGTTGCGCACCACGCCGAACCCGGAAGTACCAGAACGGTTACTTCTGGGTTTCGGCACTTGCGCATGCACAGGAGCACTAAATCGCGCCTTGAGCATCATATTTTTTTTGTATGCCGCCTTTCCACAGTTAAAAAACAATTCTCAAGGCGGCTTACAGCGTAACAAGATTTACATAATTACAAAAGTCATAAACAATAAATAAACCGCATCAAAAAATACACAACCAAATGGGAAACAATTTCCACATAAATCAAAATCTAATGTCACATAGAGGAGGGAGAAAATTTCCACATAAATCAAAATCTAATGTCACATAGAGGAGGGAGAAAGGTTGTTTTCTGCTGCTCCAGAGAAGCGGACACGGAGCAATGGATCCAAACTACAAGAAAGAAGATTCCACCTAAACATTAGGAAGAACTTCCTGACAGTAAGAGCTGTTCGACAGTGGAATTTGCTGCCAAGGAGTGTGGTGGAGTCTCCTTCTTTGGAGGTCTTTAAGCAGAGGCTTGACAACCATATGTCAGGAGTGCTCTGATGGTGTTTCCTGCTTGGCAGGGGGTTGGACTCGATGGCCCTTGTGGTCTCTTCCAACTCTATGATTCTATGATTCTATGATTCTATGATTCTATGATTCTATGATTCTATGATTCTAAAACTAAAACTAAATTCTATGATTCTAAAACTAAAACTAAGAATACAGCAGAAGTGCTGAATTGCAACCCGTGCATGCGCAGACGCACAGGTCGCAGGTTGCGAACGCTGCAGGTTGCGAACGTGCCTCCCGCACGGATCACGTTCGCAACCTGAGCGTCCACTGTACTTTTATATACTGTACACAAGATTGTGGTGTGTTTATTCTTTTAAGAGAGATATCAGGGAACTTACCAGGAACCTAATAGTGAGAGGCTTACACGAGCCTGCAACCAGCTATCTACTGTGCCTTTAAAAGGGGAATGTAAATCTCTGCTAAGTTATAGAACTTGCTAGTGCAAGTTAGGAAGGATATTGATAAACAGTATATCCTTTCCTGCCTCCCTGAACGTTCCCACACAGATTGCACTCAGGACAACCGAGTGGTGCTGGACGGAGAGGAGCTGCCTAACCCGCTGAACCCCTGCCAGGCGTGCCTGTGCACTGCTGGAGAACTGCGCTGCAAGGAGCGTCAGTGCCCGGGCGCCCTATGCGCTCACCCCTTGCCCGGATCCTGCTGCCAGAACAACTGCAACGGTGAGCATCTCCTGCACTCGGCTAGAATGCCACACACACACACACACCCATCCCGGGAATCACAGAATCGTACATCTGGAAGGGGACCCCCCACACACACCAAGGGATCATCTAGCAAACTTTTACAGCAGGGGGCCGGTCCACTGTCCCTCAGACCTTGTGGGGGGCCAGACTATATTTTGAAGGGAAAAAATGAACAAATTCCTATGCCCCACAAATAACCCAGAAATGCATTTTAAATAAAAGGACACATTCTACTCATGTAAAACATGCTGATTCCCAGACCGTCTGCGGGCCCGATTGAAAAGGCGATTGGGCTGGATCCGGCCCCGGGCCTTAGTTTGCCTACTCATGATCTAGCCCAAGCCCCTGAAAGGCAGGAATCACACCCAGAAAGTAATGGAATCATGGATTGGAACATGGCCAATTTTGGTCTGATGAGGCCCTAAGCTCCTGAAGGTAATGGGGCCCTTTCTATGTCCATCTGTCCTTTGTCCACAACAAATTGTCACTGTTTTTTTGTGTTGAATATGTGCTGTATGGTAATTGATGGACCTAATAGTTATCTCAAGCCATTTGCACATAACAAGACATGTATTTTATCAAAGTAATTGCTGAAATGAAACACAATTAAGAAGAAGTATATTAATAGTGAAATACAATTAAGAACAAGTATATTGATAGTGAAATACAATTAAAAAGAAGTATATTGTGAAATACAATTAAGAACAAGTATATTGATAGTGAAATAATTATTAAGCTCTAACTTAAAATGACTTTTTATTCATAACAAACTTAATAATGTAAACACATTGGCATTTGGCAATAACAAAAATTCCTTTAGGAACACAATTTAGAAAGACCCATAATGTAATCCAGCCATAGGCAAACTTTGGCCCTCCAGATGTTTTGGACTACAATTCCCATCATCCCTAGCTAACAGCACCGGTGGTCAGGGATGATGGGGATTGTAGTCCAAAACATCTGGAGGGCCAAAGTTTGCCTATGCCTGACCTGATATGTAGAAACTTGCTATAACATGAAATAATAGGTGTAAATATACGATGCAAACTGCTAATAATTATAAATAGCAGAATGTAGGTACCCTATATATAGAAAGGAGCAAAGCAGTGATATTTTAGGGAGCAAGCGAGCAGGCAGGGCCCATTACTTACATCCTAGGAGCCTACACAACACAAAACACTGTTGCTGTATGTAGCTTTTATTTTATTCGCTTTTTATCTTATATTTTGGAAATGTACATCCAGGTTTTTTTCTTCCTTTAAATTTTTTGGGGCCCCCCAAGAGAGTGGGGCCCTACGCTATAACTTGTTGAGCTTATACGCAAATCCGGCACTGATTTGGAAGGGAACCCTGGAAATCATCTATCCCAACCCGCCTAGAGGCCGCCCCTGATCCCCACTTGGTTCCTAGTCTTGCCCCCTGTCAGCTCTGCTCCCAGAACCAACAGACCACTTTCTCCAACTAATGGGGCCCGCTATTAACCCTTCCCTTCCTGCGCAGGCTGCAACTACGCCGGAAGGAGTACCCGAACGGCGCTGAGTTTCCCCCACCCCACGGACAAGTGCCGGCAGTGCCACTGCATTGTGAGTGCCAGGGTAGCGGGGAAAGGAGGGTGGGGTCTTTCCCCTTTGCAGTCACAGAAGGGGCACCCAGGGGCCATCTAGTCCAACCCCCTCCCCTGCAAAAGCGGGAATCCTAGCACTGTAGAATCACAGAACTGTACCAGCGCAATGCTCAGCCAGCTTTTCTTCCCCCCGTCCCGTCTGCAGAATGGAAACGTCCAGTGCCTCTCACGTCGCTGCCCGCCCCTTCTGTGCCCGGAACCATTCCTGATGCCCGGAGAATGCTGCCCCCGGTGTCCAGGTAAGGAACTGCACCAGCTTCACCTTCCAGGGTCTGCCCGCTTCCCTGGCATGGGGCCCGATCCCCGAAGGGCTTGTTGCTTGCTCACTTATTTCCTAAGCGCGTGTGCCCCTCGCGCCAATAGAAACTCTCTCAGCAGCTCATGCCGTAAGTACCGTATTTTTCGCTCCATAAGACACACTTTTTTCCTCCTAAAAAGTAAGGGGAAATGTCTGTGCGTCTTATGGAGCGAATGTGTGGGCCCTGAAGCCGAATTGCCCAGGGTTGAAAAGCAGATTGTGGCTTTTTTTTAGAAAGAGGGAAGGGGGTGTTGAAACAAAACCGCTGAGCAGCTGATCGGCAAGCGATCAGGAGGGGGATAAGGGACTCTAGAGATAAAGGAGGCTGCCTGGGAGGGGGGAGGTAAAAGCACATGGATCCTCAGGATTTTGCATTGGGTCACCCCAAATTCACCATTAGATCACATAGCATGTCCATGGCTACAGCCTGCACCAAAAAACCATGCATCCACAGTTTCGTGGGGTCGCAATGGTGCAAAAACGTGGTTACAAAGCATGGATCCACATGGATTCTCAGGATTTTTGCATTGGGCTACCCCAAACTCACTGTCAAATCTCACATATCATGTCTGTGGCCACAGCATGAACCACAAAAATCATACATCCACTGTTTCGTTCAGAATATTTTTTTTCTTGTTTTCCTCCTCTAAAAACTAGGTGCGTCTTATGGTCAGGTGCGTCTTATGGAGCGAAAAATACGATAACCAAATGATTTTGGCATTTATGCCAGAAGACAATTATTAGAGGCCCTACAACACAATAGGCTCAATTCTATGCCCCCAACAGTTCAGGACCTGCCCTCGGACAGGAATGATCAAATTACTTTAATAGTGGCTGAATTTTTGAGTGCTGTCCATGTAGAAAGTCTGGGCCATTATAAAGAGATTTAGTGGTTCTTAACTGATTGGTGATGGGGTAATGTTGTATCGTATTATTTATGCAGATTGATTTTCTCTGGAGTTAAAGATCTGACTGGGACAAACCTTGTTATGTTGAGCTCGTATTTTGCACAATTTGTATACGGTGTCTGTTTGATAATGTGTGGTTTGCTATGCCTAATAAACGATATTTGCCACTCCCAAAAGGCCACCGCTTTCCAACTCTCAACGCTCCTTACTTCCTTCTTACAGCTCCCCCAGCTGGCTGCTTTCTACCTGGGTGTCCCTTACCAGCACATGGGGCGCTTCTACGACCCGTCGGACAAGTGCCGCGACTGCATCTGCAACAACGGGACCATCACCTGCCAACGCCAGCCCTGCGCGCCCGCCCAGTGCTCCCACCCGCTGCAACTGGACTGCTGCCACTCGTGCGACGGTGAGCGTTCGCTTCTGAGCTTAGGCATGTGGGAATGTTCAGGGAGGCAGGAGAGATATATTGTTTATTAACATCCTTCCTAAACTTGGGTCAATTCTCAGAGCCTGGCAGACACGGAATACACTTCATTGAGGTTGTCAGGCTACAGGGAGTATCAACAAACTGGCCACACATCTGCCGCCAAAGCCGGGATAAAGGTTCTCATATCGATTTACAAAGCCCTGGAGCAACTTGGGTCCAGAATAGCTTGGGGACCAACTGGACCCTGAACTCAATTGGCTCAGATCATCCACAGAGCGCTATTGGTCGTTCCTGAGTTAGTGAGGTTTGTTGCAACAACGGGAAACGAACCTTCAGCGCCGTCTGCCGAGTCCCTGTGGGAACTCCCTGCCACTAGAAAAAGATTTGTTGTCAAACAAACCTCACTAACTCAGGAACGACCAATAGTGCTCTGCGGATGATCTGAGCCATTGAGTTTCAGGGTCCAGTTGGTCCCAAGCTATTCTGGACCCAAGTTGCTCAGGCTTTGTAAATCGATATGAGAACCTTGATCCCGGCTTGGCGGCAGATGCGTGGCCAGTTGTCGATACTCCCTGAAAGCCTGACAACCTCAATGAAGTGTATTCCGTGTGTGCCAGGCTTGTAGCGTTGACTCAAGTTAGGAAGGATGTTAATAAACAATATATCCTCTCCTGCCTCCCTGAACATTCCCACATGCCTAAGCTCAGTAGCGACCGCTTACCGTCACACGAGCGGCAGCAGTCCAGTTGCCAGCGGGTGGGAGCACTGGGCCGGCGCGCAGGGCCTGGCGTTGGGCAAGTGATGGTCCCGTTGTTGCAGATGCAGTCGCGGCACTTGTCCGACGGGTCGTAGAAGCGCCCCATGTGCTGGTAAGGGACACCCAGGTAGAAGCAGCCAGCTGGGGGAGCTGTAAGAAGGAAGTAAGGAGCGTTGAGAGTTGGAAAGCGGTGGCCTTTTGGAGTGGCAAATATCGTTTATTAGGCATAGCAAACCACACATTATCAAACAGACACCGTATACAAATTGTGCAAAATACGAGCTCAACATAACAAGGTTTGTCCCAGTCAGATCTTTAACTCCAGAGAAAATCAATCTGCATAAATAATACGATACAACATTACCCCATCACCAATCAGTTAAGAACCACTAAATCTCTTTATAATGGCCCAGACTTTCTACACGGACAGCACTCAAAAATTCAGCCACTATTAAAGTAATTTGATCATTCCTGTCCGAGGGCAGGTCCTGAACTGTTGGGGCATAGAATTGAGCCTATTGTGTTGTAGGGCTCTAATAATTGTCTTCTGGCATAAATGCCAAAATCATTTGGTTATCGTATTTTTCGCTCCATAAGACGCACCTGACCATAAGACGCACCTAGTTTTTAGAGGAGGAAAACAAGAAAAAAATATTCTGAACGAAACAGTGGATGTATGATTTTTGTGGTTCATGCTGTGGCCACAGACATGATATGTGAGATTTGACAGTGAGTTTGGGGTAGCCCAATGCAAAAATCCTGAGAATCCATGTGGATCCATGCTTTGTAACCACGTTTTTGCACCATTGCGACCCCACAAAACTGTGGATGCATGGTTTTTTTGGTGCAGGCTGTAGCCATGGACATGCTATGTGATCTAATGGTGAATTTGGGGTGACCCAATGCAAAAATCCTGAGGATCCATGTGCTTTTACCTCCCCCCTCCCAGGCAGCCTCCTTTATCTCTAGAGTCCCTTATCCCCCTCCTGATCGCTTGCCGATCAGCTGCTCAGCGGGTTTGTTTCAACACCCCCTTCCCTCTTTCTAAAAAAAAAGCCACAATCTGCTTTTCACCCCTGGGCAATTCGGCTTCAGGGCCCACACATTCGCTCCATAAGACGCACAGACATTTCCCCTTACTTTTTAGGAGGAAAAAAGTGTGTCTTATGGAGCGAAAAATACGGTACTTACGGCATGAGCTGCTGAGAGAGTTTCTGTTGGCGCGAGGGGCACACGCGCTTAGGAAATAAGTGAGCAAGCAACAAGCCCTTCGGGGATTGGGCCCCATGCCAGGAAGCGGGCAGACCCTGGAAGGTGAAGCTGGTGCCAGTTCCGTACCTGGACACCGGGGCAGCATTCTCCGGGCATCAGGAATGGTTCCCGGGCACAGAAGGGGCGGGCAGCGACGTGAGAGGCACTGGACGTTTCCATTCTGCAGACGGGACGGGGGGAAGAAAAGCTGGCTGAGCATTGCGCTGGTACAGTTCTGTGATTCTACAGTGCTAGGATTCCCGCTTTGCAGGGGAGGGGGTTGGACTAGATGGCCCCTGGGTGCCCCTTCTGTGACTGCAAAGGGGAAAGACCCCACCCTCCTTCCCCGCTACCCTGGCACTCACAATGCAGTGGCACTGCCGGCACTTGTCCGTGGGGTGGGGGAACTCAGCGCCGTTCGGGTACTCCTTCCCGGCGTAGTTGCAGCCTGCGCAGGAAGGGAAGGGTTAATAGCGGGCCCCATTAGTTGGAGAAAGTGGTCTGTGTGGTTCTGGGGAGCAGAGCTGACAGGGGGCAAGACTAGGAACCAAGTGGGGATCAGGGGCGGCCTCTAGGCGGGGTTGGGATAGATGATTTCCAGGGTTCCCTTCCAAATCAGTGCCGGATTTGCGTATAAGCTCAACAAGTTATAGCGTAGGGCCCCACTCTCTTGGGGGGCCCCAAAAAATTTAAAGGAAGAAAAAAACCTGGATGTACATTTCCAAAATATAAGATAAAAAGCGAATAAAATAAAAGCTACATACAGCAACAGTGTTTTGTGTTGTGTAGGCTCCTAGGATGTAAGTAATGGGCCCTGCCTGCTCACTTGCTCCCTAAAATATCACTGCTTTGCTCCTTTCTATATATAGGGTACCTACATTCTGCTATTTATAATTATTAGCAGTTTGCATCGTATATTTACACCTATTATTTCATGTTATAGCAAGTTTCTACATATCAGGTCAGGCATAGGCAAACTTTGGCCCTCCAGATGTTTTGGACTACAATCCCCATCATCCCTGACCACCGGTGCTGTTAGCTAGGGATGATGGGAATTGTAGTCCAAAACATCTGGAGGGCCAAAGTTTGCCTATGGCTGGATTACATTATGGGTCTTTCTAAATTGTGTTCCTAAAGGAATTTTTGTTATTGCCAAATGCCAATGTGTTTACATTATTAAGTTTGTTATGAATAAAAAGTCATTTTAAGTTAGAGCTTAATAATTATTTCACTATCAATATACTTGTTCTTAATTGTATTTCACAATATACTTCTTTTTAATTGTATTTCACTATCAATATACTTGTTCTTAATTGTATTTCACTATTAATATACTTCTTCTTAATTGTGTTTTCATTTCAGCAATTACTTTGATAAAATACATGTCTTGTTATGTGCAAATGGCTTGAGATAACTATTAGGTCCATCAATTACCATACAGCACATATTCAACACAAAAAACAGTGACAATTTGTTGTGGACAAAGGACAGATGGACATAGAAAGGGCCCCATTACCTTCAGGAGCTTAGGGCCTCATCAGACCAAAAATTGGCCCTGTTCCAATCCATGATTCCATTACTTTCTGGGTGTGATTCCTGCCTTTCAGGGGCTTGGGCTAGATCATGAGTAGGCAAACTAAGGCCCGGGGGCCGGATCCAGCCCAATCGCCTTCTAAATCCGGCCCGCGGACGGTCTGGGAATCAGCGTGTTTTTACATGAGTAGAATGTGTCCTTTTATTTAAAATGCATCTCTGGGTTATTTGTGGGGCATAGGAATTTGTTCATTTTTTCCCTTCAAAATATAGTCTGGCCCCCCACAAGGTCTGAGGGACAGTGGACCGGCCCCCTGCTGTAAAAGTTTGCTAGATGATCCCTTGGTGGGGTGTGGGGGGTCCCCTTCCAGATGTACGATTCTGTGATTCCCGGGATGGGTGTGTGTGTGTGTGTGTGGCATTCTAGCCGAGTGCAGGAGATGCTCACCGTTGCAGTTGTTCTGGCAGCAGGATCCGGGCAAGGGGTGAGCGCATAGGGCGCCCGGGCACTGACGTTCCTTGCAGCGCAGTTCTCCAGCGGTGCACAGGCACGCCTGGCAGGGGTTCAGCGGGTTAGGCAGCTCCTCTCCGTCCAGCACCACTCGGTTGTCCTGAGTGCAATCTGGGTGGGAATGTTCAGGGAGGCAGGAAAGGATGTACTGTTTATTAATAGCCTTCCTAATTTGCGCTAGCAAGTTCCTTTACTTAGTGGAGTTTCACATTCCCCTTTTAAACACACGGCGGGTAGCTGGTTGCAGGCTCGTGTAAGCCTCTCACTATTAGGTTCCTGGTAAGTTCCCTTCTATCTCTCTTAAAAGAATAAACACGCCACAATCTTGTGTAAAGTACATAAAAGTACAGTGGACGCTCGGGTTGCGAACGTGATCCGTGTGAGAGGCACGTTTGTAACCGGCAGCGTTCACAACCCGCAACACGTGCGTCTGCGCATGCGCGGGTCGCGATTTGGCGCTTCTGCTGTATTCTTAGTTTTTAGATTTAGATTTATGTGGAAATTGTTTCCCATTTGGTTGTAATTGGAATTACCCGTTCGATGACTCACCGGGGCACTTTGGACAGCATATTCCAGGCCTCCTCTCCGGATGCGGACAAGTCAGTGGGGGGCAGGGAGTGGGGGAGCAGCGGACGGTGCCATCCTGCGGCGGAGAAGGAGGCATTGTTGTTTATTATTGCTATTAAGTTTGTATACTGCCCTTTTCCTCCCAAAGAACACAGCACAAGTGGTTCTGCCCCAAAACTGCGGTCTGCTTATGTTCGTTCCCTGCCTAAACTGCATAGACTCAGGACCCCTCCAGAGATCTTTCGGATTCTGCTTTCCTGATGGCATGGGGTTGCAGAAGAGTTAACAAAGCTGATCAAAGCTGGTCAGATTTTGCAAGACCTGAGCTGCTCAGCTGACCTGGTAAGGACTGGCAAGGCCCACTTAATTACAATGGTACCCCTGGTTGCGAACGGGATCCGTTCCAGAGGCCCGTTCGCAACATGAAAAGAGCGCAACCTGCAGCCGCACACCTGTGCACACACAGGTTGCGATTCGCCGCTTCTGCGCATGTGCGTGACATCATTTTGCTCTTCTGTGCATGCGCGAGCGGCAAAACCCGGTAGTAACCCTTTCTGGTACTTCCGGGTTGCTGCAGGATGTAACATGAAGCGGACGTAACATAAGGTATGACTGTATCTGGCTTGTGAGACAGCTAATGTCCAGGAAAACGGCCTCTGGGCATGTTGGGGCGACGTTCAGCTGCATCTACACACAGGCAAAAACCCACAATAAATACTGTATTTTTCGCTCCATAAGACACACTTTTTTCCTCCTAAAAAGTAAGGGGAAATGTCTGTGCGTCTTATGGGGCGAATGTGCGGCCAATCACTGGCTCCCTTTCCGGCCCCATGCCCAGGCCTCCATTGTTGAATGTTCTGCAGACGGAGGCCGTTTGTTTCCCCAGCGACATGGGACTGGCTGATTAGATTATCTGTCTGGAAACTGTAGAAACGGCTCCCTTTCCTTTCCTAAAGAAGCTGCAGAACTGTGAGTTGAACCCCATAAAAACAGGATTTTCCCCCTTTGCAAAGAAGCTGCACAACTGTGAGCTGATCCCCCCAATACGAGACCTTCCCCCTTTACTGGTATAAAAAATAGGTGCATCTTATGGTCAGGTGCGTCTTATGGAGCGAAAAATATGACATGTCATAAATTAAATCATAACAAAAGAAAAAAAAAACCCGCTATGTAAAATCGCATAGAAAACTTTTGGGCTCTACAGTGCCACCTAGTGTCACATGTTTATAACGCATTCAAAATACAGGTTTTTTTTTACTAATGTAGCTGAGTCCCCTGCTGGCTCTCACCAGACACCGGCAGCTCTGGCAGGGATGGTCTGGGTCGATGAACTCTTGCCCGTTGCTGTAGAGCCTCTGGTTGTAGGAGCATTGCTGGCACCCTGGGCAGCAGGACCCTGCAGAGGAGGCAGAGGGTGAGAGTCACAATTCAACACCTACTGGGTGCTGGTCTGGCTAAGAACCTTGTTTGGTACCCATCTGTCTCGAGAGACAATGGAGTTCTCCTCTGGAGGTGAAGTTAGACCGCTGTGTTAGCAGCACTGAAGTAGCCTCCCGGGGTGCAAGTCTGGGCAGTGTGTCTGGAGGTCCTGCGCTGCCCAGACGTCAGGAGCCCCTCTCAGCCTCAGGGTTGGGGTCCCAAGGAAAGCAGAGCAAGACTTTAAAAAAAACGATTTTGATTTTCAGTTATAAAATTTTCAGCACAATTCAAAGTGTTGGTGCTGACCTTTAAAGGCCCAGTATATCTGAAGGAGCGTCTCCACCCCCATCATTCTGCCTGGACACTGAGGTCCAGCGCCAAGGGCCTTCTGGCGGTTCCCTCCCTGCGAGAAGCCAAGTTACAGGGAACCAGGAAGAGGGCCTTCTCGGTGGTGGCGCCCGCCCTGTGGAACGCCCTCCCACCAGATGTCAAAGAGGAAAACAACCACCAGACTTTTAGAAGACATCTGAAGGCAGCCCTTGGGCAGGCTTATATTTGGGCCAATACGGTATCATGAAAAGGACCTGGAGGGCACCTGGTTGGCAATGGCTGATTTGGCACATGAACGGTACAAAGGAATTTGGTGCATCTGTCTGTGTCAGCTGCCCCTCCCTATAGCGGAGACTTGGAGGCGGGCCGTCCAGGTGTGCTCTCACCTTGCAGCTGGGCTGGATGTTGGCAAGGAAGTGGGGGGCAGGGGGTGGGGCTGCACACCGGCTCCCCCTGGAGGCAGATGCAGCTGGTGCAGGGCTCGCCCTCCGGTTCCCACTCAGTGCCGTCTTCAAACTCCACACTGTCCAGGACACACACTGGTGGGAAAGAGAGAGAGAGAGTTGTCGTCATAGGACTGGTCAGTCTGGATGATGCCTGGGGGTCCCTTCCAAACCTGCAATCCTCACATGCCCAAGCTGGATCCAGATCTCTCATCTGGGAGCACTCAGGAGGAGTGGCAGAATTGGTCCTGCCTAGGAACTGGCAAAGCCCGTGCCGGATTTAGGTATAATCTAAACAAGCTATAGCTTAGGGCCCCTCTCTCTTGGGCCCCCCCAAAAAATTAAAGGAAAAAAAACCTGGATGTACATTTCCAAAATATAAGATAAAAAACACAAATAAAATAAAACCTACCTACAGCAACAGTGTTTTGTGTTGTGTGGGCTCCTGTGATGTAAGTCAGGCATAGGCAACCTTTGGCCCTCCAGATCTTTTGGCCTACAACTCCCATGATCCCTAGCTAACAGGACCAGTTGTTGGGAATTGTAGTCCAAAACATCTGGAGGGCTGAAGGTTGCCTATGCCTGATGTAAGTCATGGGCCCTGCCTGCTAGCCTGCTCCCTAAAATATCACTGCTTTGCTCCTTTCTATATATAGGGTGCCTACATTCTGCATGGACTGATTGCAGGGAAACATGGGCAAATGTCTTGAGATACCTATTAGGTCCATAAATTATCATATAGCATATATTCCACACAAAAACAGCCACCATTTGTTGTGGACAAAGGAAATTGGACATAGAAACAGCCCCATTACCTTCTGGAGCTTAGGCCCTCATCAAACCTAAATCCGGCCCTGACCTGCAGCAGCAGAAGCGGACATCTTCGTCTGCCCCAGCTGCAATAAAACATGTCTCTCCTGTATCGGTCTCTGCAGCCACAACAGGCACTGTAACTCTTTAATGCTTAGTCCATAAATTACCATAAAGTAAAGGTAAAGGGACCCCTGACCATTAGGTCCAGTCGTGACCGACTCTGGGGTTACGGCACTCATCTCGCTTTATTGGCCGAGGGAGCCGGCGTACAGCTTCCAGGTCATGTGGCCAGCAGGACTAAGCCGCTTCTGGCGAACCAGCACAGCGCACGGAAACACCGTTTACCTTCCCGCCGGAGTGGTACCTATTTATCTACTTGCACTTTGACGTGCTTTCAAACTGCTAGGTTGGCAGGAGCAGGGACTGAGCAACGGGAGCTCACCCCGTCGCAGGGATTCGAACCGCTGACCTTCTAATCGGCATGTCCTAGGCTCTGTGGTTTAACCCACAGCCCCACCCGTGTCTCTATAAATTACCATAAAGGTCCATAAATTACCATATACAGTAGCATATACAGTGGTACCTCAGGTTAAGTACTTAATTCATTCCGGAGGTCCATTCTTAACCTGAAACTGTTCTTAACCTGAAACAGCACTTTAGCTAATGGGGCCTCCTGCTGCTGCCGAGCCGCCGGAGCACGATTTCTGTTCTTATCCTGAAGCAAAGTTCCTAACCTGAAGCACTATTTCTGGGTTACCAGAGTGTGTAACCTGAAGCGTATGTAACCTGAAGCGTATCTAACTCGAAGTACCACTGTATTCAACACAAAAAAACAGAGACAATTTGTTGTTGGCAAGGGATAGCTGGACATAGAAAGGGCCCCATGACCTTCAGGAGCTTATGGCCGTATCAAACCAAAATCCGGCCCTGGGCAAAGCTTTGTCTGCCCTGGGGTTCAAAGCTCACCTTTGCAGAGTGGGCAGCAGTGCCCTGGGTCTTGGACGGGCTGGGAGCAAGTTGCAGGTGGGCACAGCTCCTCCTGGCACCGGACGTGCCCATCCTGTAGACAGGAAAGAAGGAGGTCAGCGGAATCTCGCAAGACTCTGGCTCGGAAAGTATTCCGGGGTGTCGCTCGTGTTTACGGGCTTTTTGAGATCGGTGCGAGCCGCTCTGAGCGTTAAGACTTTTCACGAATGAATAAGGAAGCAAATACCGTATTTTTTGCTCTATAAGACTCACTTTTTCCCTCCTAAAAAGTAAGGGGAAATGTGTGTGCGTCTTATGGAGCGAATGCAGGCTGCTTTCACTGCGCAGCGATCCCTCTTGTTGTTCTAGCCTCTGGGATTCAGAATATTTTTTTTCTTGTTTTCCTCCTCCAAAAACTAGGTGCATCTTATAGAGCAAAAAATACAGTAATTTGCCACACTGAGCTCCTTGGAGGGGTGTAAATGTTAGAATAAAAATAATAAATGAATTTGTTGTCACCCACCCCAAAGAAGCAGGGGGTGTTTGCAATAAGGAAAGTGACAGGGAAATGCACTTGCTCCGATGCGACTTCGTCTAATCTCCCCACAATCAGGTCAGAATGAATGGGCATGAAAAGGAACTTCGTCTAATCTCCCCACAATCAGGTCAGAATGAATGGTCATGAAATAAGGAACTTCATCTAATCTCCCCACAAGCAAATCAGAACGAATGGTCAGGAAACAGGTAACTTCATCTAATCTCCCCACAAGCAAATCAGAACGAATGGTCAGGAAACAGGCAACGTCATCTAATCTCCCCACAAGCAAATCAGAACGAATGGTCAGGAAACAGGCAACTTTGTCTAATCTCTCCACAAAACGAATGTTCAATCAAACAGGCCACCTGGAAGCAACGAGGGACCTGCTGGAGAGAAAGGGATGGTGAAGAACCCCTCCTTCCCCGCTGTGCCATGAGTGGCGCTCCCCCCTCTGAGCACAGCCCCTCCCTGCCCCACCCCTGCCCTACTCACTGAGCACGTGCACTGCAGGCAAGGGCTGCCCCCTTCAGGCCGAAAGGTGTCCCCGTTCTGGAAGGGCCGTCCTTCAAATTCACACACTGTCCAAGGGGAGAGAGGAGCAGGAGGTCAAGCGAATGGCATTTTAAGCCCCCCCCCAAATGCTAAATCAACTGCGGGGTCAGGATCCTGCCCAGTCCTGCCTCTGCCCTTCCCCCAGGACACTCCTGTCCAACCCCCCCCCCATAAGCCACCACCCAATTTAGGCTCCTGAAATTGGCCAAGGATGACGACTGAGACTCTGCCAATGCAGATTCAATGGGCACCTTCTGCCCCAGCTTTCAAATGACAGCCTAAAACTTTTCTATTCTGCCAGGCCTGCGCAGGCAGTTCAGAATACATCCTTCCCAGCGGCTATAACAGATGCTGTTTAACTTTCAAAAAATGCTTTTTATTGCATGGTTTACCGTATTTTTCACTCTATCCAAAAATTAAGGGGAAATGTTTGTGCGTCCTATGGAGCAAATGCAGGCTCCTTGGCTTCAGCGATAGCAACGCAAAGCCTCCGAAGCGCAGAGGGAGAGCTCCCCCCACTGCTCCGAAGGCTTGCAGATAGCCGCCTGAAGCCTGGAGAGTGAGAGGGGTCAGTGCGCACTGATCCCTCTTGCTCTCCTGGCTTCGCTTCGCTGGAGAGGTGCTGCACAGTTTTCCCTCTCTGCGCAGCGCCCCTTCAGCGAAGCAGGCTGCTTCGCTGAAGGGGCGCTGCGCAGAGAGGGGGAGAATCCCCCCCTGTTCTCCCCCTCCTATGGTCCGGAGAGACACACCTAGTTTTTAGAGGAGGAAAGGGGGAAAGCCCCATTTTTGGGGGATCAGCTCACAGTTGTGCAGCTTCTTTTGCAAAGGGGAAAAGCCCTGTTTTTTTTGAGGATCAGCTCAAAGTTGCGCGGCTTCTTTTGCAAAGGGGAAAAGGCCCTTTTTTGAGAATCAGCTCAAAGTTGTTGAGCTTACTTTGCAAAGGGAAAAAATCCTGGTTTTATGGGGTTCAACTCACAGTTCTGCAGCTTCTTTAGGAAAGGAAAGGGAGCCGTTTCTACACTTTCCAGACAGATAAACTAATCAGCCAGTCCCATGCCGCTGGGGAAATAAACAGCCTTCGTCTGCAGAACATTCAGCAATGGAGGCCTGGGCAAAGGGCCGGAAAGGGAGCCAGCGAACGACCGCACATTCGCTCCATAAGACGCACAGACATTTCCCCTTACTTTTTAGAAGGAAAAAAGTGCGTCTCATGGAGCGAAAAATACGGTATATAACATATTCCGCCGCCCCATACAGGGCTGCCATCAATGGCTCCAGGAGTTCCATAACTCCATCCCCTCCAACATTCCTCCGATGAAAATAGGGATGCCCTAAGGAAAAGCGGGACGTTCCGGGATAAAATCAGAAACCGGGACGGCTTCTGTAAATCCGGGACTGTCCCTGGAAAATAGGGACACTTTGGGGGTGGGTGGTCCTGAGACCGGCAACCAGTGCGGATCTCTGAGCGCAGCTGTTACACGCTGGCGAGGCCACACTGCTGTCAGCAATTGTGCTGCAGCATCCTGCCCCGACTTCACCTTCCGGATCGGGTGCAACAAGGGAAGCCGCCCAGAGAGCACCTTGCAGGCCTGATGGTGACGGTGATGTGGGCGAGAGACAACTCACCGTCGCAGGTTGGGCAGCACTGTCCCGGGAGTTTGCCCGGGTGGCTGCAGGACGGCGGAGGGCACTTGGGCGCGGCTCGCTCACACGAAACCTCCCCGGCCTGTCGGAAGAAGCAAAAGGGTTAGGAAGGGGGTTCCAGGGCCATTTCCACCCCCTCAGCACACACCCTCCCCCAACAGCGTCTTTGGTCATTCCCCGAGTTGGTGAGGCTCGTTGGACAACAATGAGAAACCGAGACCGTCAACCGGGTCTTGTGGAACTCTCTGCCACTAGAGATTCAGTAGGCACCTTCTGTGCCAGCTTTTAAACACTTGCTGAAATCTCTTCTATTCCAGCAGAACCCTGTGTGGACAACTAAGAAGGCATCTTTCCACAATGGTTATGATCGACTTCTGCCTTTAACTTTTAAAGACGGTTTTATGTTTTTTTAATTGTTTTCTATACATTCTATACAATGAGATGGTTGGACAGTGTTCTCGAAGCTACCAGCATGAGTCTGACCAAACTGCGGGTGGCAGGGGAAGACAGGAGGGCCTGACGTGCTCTGGTCCAGGGGGTCACGAAGAGTCGGACACAACTAAACAACTAAACAACAACACAATACATTTTTGAATGACGCAGCGGGTTGCAAGTATTTTTTTTAATGAAGAAATAATATAAATAGCTCCAAGCCGGAGTAGCGTGGGGAGGGAACAAACACCACGCCCGAAATGCAAGACTCGACAACAACCTAAATTGTATAGAAATTTATTTATGTATGCTACTACAGCAGCAAGAATGTTACTTGCCCCAAAGTGGAAAGAAGCAGAAGTCCCAGTAAAGGAAGAATGGATACAAAACTTATGGAATATGCAGAAATGGCGAACTTACCAGAAGAATAAGAAATCAAGATGAACTTTTAAGAAAAGAATGGAAATGGTTTATTGAGTATTTACAGATAAATTGGAAACAGATAAAAACATTAGCAGGATTAGTGCAATAAATTTCAGTTTTATTAAGAGTATGTATTTACAGTAGATAATGAGCAAGTTAAAGGAATTTGGATATGCAGAAGATATTAAAAAATAAACTTAAGGAAACGCAGAAAGAGGGGAAAGGAAGCCAAGTTTTGAAAGGTCAAATGGATTGCAAAACTAATGAAATGTATAAACTTGAAAAATATAAAGAAAAAAGAAAGAAATGCAAGACTCGGCGATGGAAGACTCACCACACAGGTGCAGCGCTTGCAAAGCTCTCCGCTCGGGACCACCTCTCCGCTGCGGTACTCTCTCCCTTCCCACAGACAACCTGTGTGGGAATGTTGAGGGTGGCAGGAGAGGATATATTGCTTATTAATATCCTTCCTAACTTGCGCTAGAAAGTTCCTTTACTTAGCAGAGTTTACACCCCCCCTTTTTACATGCACAGCAGATAGCTGGTTGCAGGCTCGTGTGAGCCTCTCACTATTATACAATTCAGTCTGTCTCAGATTGAATTGTACGTTCCTGGTAACTTCCCTTGAATCCCTCTTAAAAGAATAAAGATGCCAGAATCTTATTCAAAGTCAATAAAAGAAGTTTACTCACATCAGTTCACAGTTGGATTCCTGAAGGCAGACTTGGTCACAAATACAGTGGTACCTCGGGTTACATACGCTTCAGGTTACAGACTCGGCTAACCCAGAAATATTACCTCAGGTTAAGTACTTTGCTTCAGGATGACAACAGAAATCGTGCTCCGGCGGCACGGCAGCAGCAGGAGGCCCCATTAGCTAAAGTGGTGCTTCAGGTTAAGAACAGTTTCAGGTTAAGAATGGACCTCCGGAACGAATTAAGTACTAACCCAAGGTACCACTGTATGTATACTGGATCTACCCCACATGGGGGAATAATCCCAGTGCTTCTGCTAGCTGAGAGCTAGCAGAGCAGTCCTAGCTAAAACCTGGTCAAATGAAGAAGGAAGTCAAAAAGAGAGAGGTGTGCTGCGTGACTCATCCTTTTGTTACCTGAACAGGTGAGGCCACACCCACCTTCTATCACATGCGAAAGGAAGGATGCTCCAGCCAGGGGGAGCAGGAAGTTTCGACTGGCTGGACCAAACATCCCCTTGCATGTCTTCTCTAGCATTACAAGGAATGCTGTACTTGACTGCCTCTCCTGGATCTCATCCCACAACCTGGAGGCACCAGGGCAAGAAGAGTCTGTAAAGGGCTCTGAGTTCGAGATGCAGGGGACATCCTCTTAAATAATCTCCTGGGACTCACCATCACAGACGGGGCAGCAAGTCCCGGGGCGAGGGGGTGCTGGGTGGCGGCAGAGACTGGCGCAGTGCCTCCTTTTGCAGACGGCGTGACCTTCCTGGGGGCGCGGAAGAAAACAGGGGGGAGGGAGATAATGGAATTGGTACCTTTCAAGGGAACTGTCTTGCAGGGCCTGGCTCACAGACTGCTCTCCCTTCCCCAACAAAAGCCCCTTCCTCCCATTTTATTTTATTGATAATAATATTTATTAATTTTCAATTACAATCCAGCAATAGCCTCATTATAGGGACGCGGGTGGCGCAGAAGGTCGGCAGTTCAAATCCCCGCGACGGGGTGAGCTCCTGCTGTAAAATGCTAACACCTGCAAAAGTAACATGCAACGGTCCGTTGTATATGGGGAAATTGCCTTGCAAAACTGTGTTGACTGGTTGATAGTAAAGGTAAAGGGACCCCTGACCATTAGGTCCAGTTGAGGACGACTCTGGGGTTGCGGCGCTCATCTCGCTTTACTGGCCGAGGGAGCCGGCGTACAGCTTCCGGGTCATGTGGCCAGCAGGACTGAGCTGCTTCTGGCGAACCAGAGCAGCGCACGGAAACGCCGTTTACCTTCCCGCCGGAGTGGTACCTATTTATCTACTTGCACTTTGATGTGCTTTCGAACTGCTAGGTTGGCAGGAGCAGGGACCGAGCAACGGGAGCTCACCCCGTCGCGGGGATTCAAACCACCGACCTTCTGATCGGCAAGCCCTAGGCTCTGTGGTTTAGACCACAGCGCCACCCGCGTCCCTCCTGTCTAAATGAATGCCTCTGGGTTATGTCTAGATTTCCGCTTGCAACATATTTCTGACCTTACCAGGCATTTGCACTTCACGCAGGGGTCTGAGGATGGGGTCCACTCTTCATTGTGCTCACGCCGGGATTCCCCGTCCAGACAACCTGCCGGGAGACATCAATCAACCAATGCAGAGACATCAGGTCAGCTTCAACTGTGAGGAATCCCAAAGTGGGCAGTAGAGCCTGTGGGGTGTTGGTGGGGCAATGGGGTTGCCATAGGGGGCTCTGGGAAGCAGCAAGGGGGTGACGGCAGTGGTGATTTAAGACCTGAAGGAGCATCTCCCTGCCCATCTGGCTGGGTTTCTCCAGCCACTCTGGGTGGCTTCTAACAGAATATTAAAATACAATAACCTATTAAACGTTAAAAGCTTCCCTGAACAGGGCTGCCTTCAGATGTCTTCTAAAAGTCTGGTAGTTGTTTATCTCTTTGACATCTGGTGAGAGGGTGTTCCACAGGGCAGGTGCCACCACCGAGAAGGCCCTCTGCCTGTTTCCCTGTAACTTGGCTTCTTGCAGTGAAGGAACCGCCAGAAGGCCCTCAACGCTGGACCTCAGTGTCCGGGCTGAACGATGGGGGTGGAGACGCTCCTTCAGGTATACTGCTCGGAAACGTACTGGGAGCCAATGTAGGTCTTTCAAGACCGGTGTTATATGGTCTCAGCGGCTGCTCCCAGTCCCCAGTCTAGCTGCCGCATTCTGGATTAATTGCAGTTTCCGGGTCACCTTCAAAGGTAGCCCCACATAGAGCGCATTGCAGTAGTCTTAGCGAGAGATAACTAGAGCATGCACCACTCTGGTGAGACAGTCCATGGGCAGATAGGGTCTCATCCTGTGTACCAGGTGGAGCTGGTAGACAGCTGCCCTGGACACAGAACTGACCTGCGCCTCCATGGACAGCTGTGAGTCCAAAGTGACTCCCAGGCTTTGCACCTGGTCCTTCAGGGGCACAGCTGCCCCATTCAGGACCAGGAAGTGTCCCACACCTGCCCACACCCTGCCCCCCCAAAAACAGTACTTCTGTCTTGTTAGGATTCAACCTCAAGCTTGCACCCCAAGTGCAAAATGGGAAGCCTTCACCTCCTTCTCACCCTGGCACAGGGGGCAGCATTGCCCAGGGATCTCCTCTGTGTTGGCACAGTCCAGCTTTGGGCAGGCGACCTGGGAGCAGACGATGTTCCCATCCTGGGGAGGGAAAAAGGCAAGAGGAAGCACAAAATGAATAAGGAGCCTGACTGGATCAGAGATCTATCACTCACCCCTCCCCACCAACAACCCTCCCGCTCCAGACGACTCGAGAAAGTGAGCCAAGTCGTATTTCATGCAGGGAAGGGGATAGGGGCCTTAGAATGCTCTCTAACCCTCACCCCTTATTGGCCCTCCATTGCACCCCAAGATCTTTAGGTTGGCTGGCACGTATCCTTAATCCCTAAAGAAGCAGTTTGGGTACAAAGAGCTCCATGCACAATCGACAAAATTTGCATCCTTTGCCCCGCCCACTTCTGCCGCTGGCCCCGCCCACCACGGCACAAATTGCATTGTGATTTTTTTTTTTTTTGCGGCAACCATCCCCCCTGGCACCCACCTGACAGACGCAGCATTCGCAGGGGTCTTTGCCCGCCACCTCGCCACCGTTGGGAATGAGCTGCCCGCGGAAAAGGCAGCGGGTGCAGTCCGGGCAGCAGGAGCCAGCGGCAGGGGGCAGTCCGTGGGTGCAAGGCGGGGGGCATGGCTGGGCAGGGGTGCACACCAGCGCCCCCTCCTGGAGAAAGAGACTCAGGTCACAGAACGGGCAAATGGGCACTGCAACCAGGTCTGCAGCCTGAGGTTCAGCTCCGAGAGCCTTCTGGCGGTTCCCTCATTGCGAGAAGTGAGGTTTCAGGGAACCAGGCAGAGGGCTTTCTCGGTGGTGGCGCCCGCCCTGTGGAACACCCTCCCATCAGAAATCAAGGAAATAAACAACTATCCGACTTTTAGAAGACATCTGAATGCAGCCCTGTTTTAGGGAAGTTTTTAAATGTTTGATGTTTTATTGTGTTTTTAATATTATGTTGGGAGCCGCCCAGAGTGGCTGGGGAAACCCAGTCAGATGGGCAGGGTATTGTTATTATTATTAATAATAAATAAAATTATAAAATTACAATTAATAATAATAATAATAATAATAATAATAATCTGCTTCCAACAGAGATTAAAATACATTAAAACATCAAACATTAAAAACTTTCAATAATAATAATAATAATAATAATAATAATATTGTGGATTTTTGATGGTTTGAATACAGACCTACTATGCAAACGGATTATAATTTTTCTATTTGTTATCAGGTATTTGTTAGCAGGTAGTGTGAGGACTGGGGTGTGTGTGCGAATTCTGGCAATGTACGCAAGGTACACTAAAGTCCGCCATTGGCTCTCTGATCAATGGCCGATAAAAATCTACATACACAGTGTCAAGATCATTCTACTGCCCCCCACTGGCTTTTGGGGGCATTGCAATTCCCATGGACTCTCCTATAACTCACAGAACAGGTGCAGCTTTGACATCCGTCCGCAGAGGTGACCTTCTGCCCAGGCTCCAGCATTCGCCCGTCCAGCTCACACGCTAAGAGGAGAGACAGAATGAGAGAAGGAAGAAGGCCAAGGAACAGGGAGCATTAGGAACAATTACATTCCTGATTTTTTTTCGTGCTGCAGCATCTACACTTTGGAACTCCCCGCCACTTGAAAACAGGCAGGTACCTTTTCAGAGCTTGCTAACAGAATATTTTTGTGCAGGGGTTTAGAAAAGTTGGTGCTCGTTTTAATCCGGTTTTTAGCCTATTGCTATTTTAACTTTTCAAGGCTCGTTGATCATTGCTGTTAATTCTACTGATGCATAATTTTACTGTTTTATCATTTTTCGTAAACCGCTTTGAGTATTATTATTTTTTAATACACTGGGGGGGTGGGCTATTGGGTTGTTGTTGTTATTTTTATTTTGTGGTTTTATGCCTTGATTTTATTCTGTGAACTGCCCTGAGACCCCTGGGTATAGGGCAGTATATAAATTCTAATAATAGTAATAATAATAATGATCATGTTGCAAAATAAATAGATAATAAATACAGTGAGGGGGGAAAGTATTTGATCCCCTGCTAAATTTGCCAATTTGCCCTCTGACGAAGAAATGACCGGTCCATAATTTTAATGGTAGGTTTATTGTAGCTGCGAGAGACGGGATAACAACAGGAAAACCCCCAGAAACCCAGAAGACAAAAGTCAGAGATTGATGTGCATTGTAACGAGTGAAACAAGTATTTGATCCCCTATCAACCAGCCAGATGTCAGGCTACCTGGTATCTTCACTGTATGTATGACCAAACTGCGGGAGGTAGTGGAGGACAGAGGTGCCTGGCGTGCTCTGGTCCATGGGGTCACGAAGAGTCGGACATGACTAAACGACTAAACAACAACAACAACAAGGAGCTGAGATTAGAGGCACCTGTTGTAAGGGAGAGGTCTTACCTGTAATCCCAGCTCCTTACAGTACCTGTACAAAAGACACCTGTCGACAGAAGCAATCAATCCAGCAGATTCCAAAGTAGCCATCATGACCAAGACCAAAGAGCTGTCCAGTGATGTCAGGGACAAGACTGTAGACCTGCACACGGCTGGACTGGGCTACAAGACTATTGCCAGGCAGCTTGGTGAGAAGGTGACAACAGTTGGTGCAATAATTCGCAAATGGAAGAAACACAAAATAACTGTCAACCTCCCTCAGTCTGGGGCTCCATGCAAGATCTCATCTCATGGAGCTGCAATGATCAGGAGAACGGTGATGAAGCAGCCCAGAACTACATATGGGGAACTTGTCAATGATCTCAGGGAAGCTGGGACCATGGTCACCATGAAAACAGTTGATAACACACTACACCGTGAAGGACTGAGATCTTGCAGAGCCCGCAAGGTCCCCTTGCTCAAGACAGCACATGTACAGGCCCGTCTGCAGTTTGCCAATGCACATCTGAATGACCCAGAGGAGAAGTGGGTGAAAGGGTTGTGGTCAGATGAGACCAAAATCGAGCTCTTTGGCATCAACTCAACTCGCCGTGTTTGGAGGAGGAGGAATTCTGCCTACGACCCCAAGAACAGCATCCCCACCGTCAAACATGGAGGGGGACATATTATGCTTAGGGGGTGTTTTTCTGCTAAGGGGACAGGACACCTTCACTGCATCGAAGGGACAATGGACAGGACCATGTATTATCAAATCTTGGGTGAGCACCTCCTTCCCTCAGCCAGGGCATTGAAAATGGGTCGAGGATGGGTATTCTAGCCTGACAATGACCCAAAACACATGGCCAAGGCAACAAAGGAGTGGCTGAAGAAGAAGCACATTAAGGTCCTGGAGTGGCCAGTCTCCAGCCCTTAATCCCATCGAAAATCTGTGGAGGGAGCTGAAGGTTCGAGTAGCTACACATCAGCCTTGAAATCTTACTGACTTGGAGAGGATCTGCAAAGAGGAGTGGGACATAACACCTCCTGAGATGTGTGCAAACCTGGTGGCCACCTACAAGAAATGTCTGACCTCTGTAATTGCCAACAAGGGTTTTTGCCACCAAGTACTAAGTCGTCTTTTGCAAAGGGATCAAATACTGATTTCACTCATTATAATGCACATCAACCACTGACTTTTGTCTTCTGGGTTTCTGGGGTTTTTCCTGTTGTTATTCCGTCTCTCACAACTACAACAAACCTACCATTAAAATTGTGGACTGGTCATTTCTTTGTCAGAGGGCAAAAGGGCAAATACTTTTCCCCCTCACCAAAAATGTGTCATCTGAGTCCTTTTTTGTATTTATTTTTCCAGGGGGAGCACATTCGCAGGGGTTTAATGATTGAGTAAGAGGCAGGTAATATATTGTCCTGCAGGCAAACAGCAGCATCAAAACTTAGGTGCTCCTGGGGCACAGAAAAAGACCTCCTGGGGCTCAGTCTTGGCTCAGTTCACTCCCACCCCATCTTGGTTCTTTGCAGGATCTGGAAGAGAAGCCAGATTCCTCTACCTGCTCCAGTGTGTTCACGGCGAGTCACTCACCTGGGCAAACAGGGCAGCATTGGCCAGGCTGAGGGCTGGGCTTGGCACAGCGTCTGGGCGGGCAGCGGACAGGGTGGCAGCGGACCAGGCTCCTCTGGAGGGAAAAATGGAACAGGGTGGGTGGGTGAGGGTGCCTCCTTTCCTCCCTGTCCCCAAACTGGGGTCTGTCTTAACCCCCCTGCCCCGGAGGGGTAACCTCAAAAAATGCCAACTTTGCCCAACCTCCCCAAATTTCTAACAAGACCCTGAACGATGCTCGGTGGGAAGTGATAAAGGTTCACCTGAGCATGTGCAGAGTGTCTTTTCTTCTCTTCATTAAAATGCATTCTGCACATGCTCGGGTGAACCTTTATCACTTCCCACCGAGCATCGTTCAGCACCTTATTCGAAAAATAAACGGGGGGATAGGTGCAACAGTTGAATTGAACCTCCGAGTCCACAGGCAGTATACCGTGGTGTGCTAAATGCTAGAAAGTCGGCAACACGGAATGGGCCTGATCCTGCTGCTTGGCTTATGGGCTGCCCTCCGCTGATAGCTATTACTGGCCCACCCTAAATCTTCCCAGCCTCAGCCTCGAAATCTTCTATCCCAGATCAATCACCGAGATCCTCTGCAGGAGTGTTGCTGGCTGATCCCCAAGTTGGTGAGGCCCATTGGACAACAACGAGAAGCCGAGCCTTTCGTGTCATTGGCTGGTCCTGTGGAACTCTCTGCCACTGGAGATTCAGTGCCAACTTTCAAGCGGCTGCTGAAAACTTTCCAATTCTGCCAGGCCTATGCAGGTAATTGAGAATACGTCTTTCCACCATGGTTAGCTGATGCCTGTTTTCAACTACTGAATTGCTTTTATTGTATGGTTTTATTCGAAGGGGCAGAGGAACCAGAGACCAAATTGCAAACATGCGCTGGATTATGGAGAAAGCTAGAGAGTTCCAGAAAGACATCTACTTCTGCTTCATTGGCTATGCAAAAGCCTTTGACTGTGTTGACCACAGCAAACTATGGCAAGTTCTTAAAGAAATGGGAGTGCCTGATCACCTCATCTGTCTCCTAAGAAATCTCTATGTGGGACAAGAAGCTACAGTTAGAACTGGATATGGAACAACTGATTGGTTCAAAATTGGGAAAGGAGTACGACAAGGCTGTATTTTGTCTCCCTGCTTATTTAACTTATATGCAGAATTCATCATGCGAAAGGCTGGGCTGGATGAATCGCAAGCCGGAATTAAGATTGCCGGAAGAAATATCAACAACCTCAGATATGCAGATGACACAACCTTGATGGCAGAAAGTGAGGAGGAATTAAAGAACCTTTTATAATGAGTGTGAAAGAGGAGAGCGCAAAATATGGTCTGAAGCTCAACATCAAAAAACCCCGAAGATCATGGCCACTGGTCCCATCACCTCCTGGCAAGTAGAAGGGGAAGAAATTGAGGCAGTGAGAGATTTTACTTTCTTGGGCTCCATGATCACTGCAGATGGTGACAGCAGCCACGAAATTAAAAGACGCCTGCTTCTTGGGAGAAAAGCAATGACAAACCTAGACAGCATCTTAAAAAGCAGAGACATCACCTTGCCAACAAAGGGCCATATAGTTAAAACTATGGTTTTCCCAGTAGTGATGTATGGAAGTGAGAGCTGGACCATCAAGAAGGCTGATTGCCGAAGAATTGATGCTTTTGAATTCTGCTGCTGGAGAAGACTCTTGAGAGTCCCATGGACTGCAAGAAGATCAAACCTCTCCATTCTGAAGGAAATCAGCCCTGAGTGCTCACTGGAAGGACAGATCCTGAAGCTGAGGCCCCAAGACTTTGGCCACCTCATGAGAGGAGAAGACTCCCCGGAAAAGACCCTGATGTTGGGAAAGATGGGGGGCACAAGGAGAAGGGGACGACAGAGGACGAGATGGTGGGACAGTGTTCTTGAAGCTACCAGCATGAGTTTGACCAAACTGCAGGAGGCAGTGGAAGACCAGAGTGCCTGGTGTGCTCTGGTCCATGGGGTCACAAAGAGTCGGACACGACTAAACAACAACAACAACAATTACCGCTGTGATAATTTGTTATACGGTATAGCTGGGAGCTCTGCCCTTCCCTCCATCTACTCACCAGGCAGGAGCAGTTCATACAGGGGTTCGAGGAGGCAGCAAAGACATCTCCTTCCTGATATCTCTGTCCTTCGTACTCGCAACCTGGGCAAAAAAAAAAACAGGTGAGGAAAAGGCAAGGAATTCTTAACCACTGCCAGAATTAAGAACAAGTATATTGATAGCGAACAATTAAGAACAAGTATATTGATAGTGAAATAATTATTAAGCTCTAACTTATTAAGCTCTAACCTCCATCCATGGCGTGGCATGGATGCTATCAGCCTGTAGCACTGCTGAGGTGTTATGGAAGACCAGGATGCTTCAATAGCAGCCTTCAGCTCTTCTGCATTGCTCGGTCTCATGCCACGCCGCACTGAGGCAGTAATTGATGCAAAAGGGGCCCAAACCAAGTTCTGAGTACATATGCATGCTTCTACTTCTCAGACGTCCAATATTGCTCTATTTGCAGTCCTTGTTTTGCTGATTTTATTTAATATTCTAATTTTCTGAGATTGCTAATTTGGGGTTTTCATCAGGGTACGCCATGATCATCACAATTATAACAAATAAAGGCTTGACGTATCTCGCTTTGCAGGTCAAGAGTCTATCCCATATATTAGTTTCACCTTTTAAGTTGACTTACTGAAATAAATGAACTTTTCCACGATATTCTAATTTTCTGAGTTTCACCTGTAGAGAAGTGGGAATTTCTCTTACACAAGCTGCAGAAACCCCCCTCCCAAGGAAAAAGGAGGCCAAAACCTTACACTATTTCAAACCGAAAGCAGACAATACAAGAAACATGGAGAGCCTGCGCTCTCACGAATGGTCTGTCAACTGTACCTGGCATGGGAAGGATACAGAAGCAAACTTGATAAAGAGGAAACACTTTGCGCAAATGAATCGGGTCCAAGGACTGACAAAACCAACGGCCCAGTGCATAGCTGTCAACTTACAGATTTGAAAATAAGGGACCAGCAGCCTCGAAAATAAGGGCTCAGCAGCCAAAATAAGGGATTTTCAGAGCACAGGTATGTTCAACTTCTGAGCCCCTCCGAGCCAAAGGCAGAAAGCCCAGCCAGCACCCAAACGAAGCCTCAAGCGGTGGTTCCCACAGCGCAGCAACCCGGCAAAGGGGATGCAGCAAGGAAAACCACCGTCCCCTCTCCGCTGGGAAGCGCTGAGCAAAGGCGAGTCCCCAGGCAACGCGGCCGATTTGATCAGCACAAGGCATGCAAGCTCCACCCCCCAGTCGTTCTCCGACTCCTTATTGGGTGAGCAACGCAGCCAAGCAACACAGCTGAAGCCTCCCTCCTCCCTGGCCGGCAGGGAGGGAGGGAGAGGAGCTGCTTCCTTTGAAACCCGGGAAATTTAAGGGACATCATCACCAGCAGCAGGACACGGTGCTGGGATAAGGGACTTTCCCGCCAAATAAGGGACGGTTGACAGCTATGGCCATTGATGCTCTCGGGGTGCTCCCTTGCGTCCTTACCTGGATGGCAAACTGGGCAGCACTCGCCAGGCGGCGTGTAGCGCTCCCGGCATGAAAGCTCTGGGCAGCTGGGTGCTTGGCATCGGACGTTGCCTGCCTAGGAGAGTTGCAGAAAGAGGAGAGATTTGCATGGCGGCGCCAATGTGGTCACGAAACTCTGGGCAGCGGTGAACACATGGCAGGAAGGGTGAGCGCATTGCTTGGTGCTGATGACCACGTCACAGCTACTGCAGGCCTATCGTAAAACTGTAGCAATGCAATTTCGGTTTGATGAGGCCCTAAGCTCCTGAACGGGATGCAGGTGGTGCTGTGGGTTAAACCACAGAGCCTAGGACTTGCCGATCAGAAGGTCGGCTGTTCGAATCCCCGCGACGGGGTGAGCTCCCGTTGCTCTGTCCCAGCTCCTGCCAACCTAGCAGTTCGAAGGCAAGTCAAAGTGCAAGTAGATAACTAGGTACCGCTCCGGTGGGAAGGTAAACGGCGTTTCCGTGCGCTGCTCTGGTTCTCCAGAAGCGGCTTAGTCCTGCTGGCCACATGACCCGGAAGGAAGCTGTATGCCGGCTCCCTCGGCTAGTAAAGCGAGATGAGCGCCGCAACCCCAGAGTCAGCCACGACTGGACCTAATGGTTAGGGGTCCCTTTACCTTTACCTAAGGTTTAGTAGTGTTTTGATGGGACGCGGGTGGCCCTGTGGGTTAAACCACAGAGCCTAGGACTTGCCGATCAGAAGGTCGGCGGTTCGAATCCCCACGATGGGGTGAGCTCCTGTTGCTCGGTCCCTGCTCCTGCCAACCTAGCAGTTCGAAAGCATGTCAAAGTGCAAGTAGATAACTAGGTACCGCTCCGGTGGGAAGGTAAACGGCGTTTCCGTGCGCTCCTCTGGTTCTCCAGAAGCGGTTTAGTCCTGCTGGCCACATGACCCGGAAGCTGCACACCGGCTCCCTCAGCCAGTAAAGCGAGATGAGCGCCGCAACCCTGGAGTCGGTCACGACTGGACCTAATGGTCAAGGGTCCCTTTACCTTTACTCCAGGAGCGGCGAGGGCAGAGCCAAGCTTCTGGCGAGTGTAAAAGCTCTTCTTGCACTAGACATCTGTTGATGCAGCCCAGAATAGCATTACCCTTTTTTGCTCCTGCATCACACGGCGGACTCATGTTTAGCTTGTGGTCCACCAAGACCCCCAAATCCTTTCCAGATGTACTGTGCTTCAGGCACAATTGCTCACGATGGTTGGCATTGCCAGCTGCCTCCTGTCACAGACTGGCGCTAGCCCTGCCCCTGAACCTGATCTGGAAGAAGGGGATTGATACAGGTGCTAAATCTGATCAGCATCTTTCTTTCTTGCTGGCACCCCTTGGCATTGACCCATCAGCCTCCACCCCTTCCTCCGCACTCACCTGGCAGATGCAATGCCTGCATGGCTCCTCCAGGTATCTCTGCCCATCCTTCAGGAGGTGCCCTTTGTAGAAACAACCTCCACACACTGGGCAACACTTCCCCTGGGGGGTTGCGGGGTGCTGGCATGGAGCAGGGGAGCAGTCCTCTCTCTTGCAGGACACTTTGCCATCCTAGGTACAGAAGGCACAACGTTACTGGACAGCGAAAGCACGCACAATGCCCAAAGCGATGATTCCATTATTGTTATTATTATTATTATGATTCTCAATTTTATACATTTCAATAACTTTACGGCCCTTTTAACATTTCAAAACTTGTCTTCCTGCCCCCTCTTTCTGTGGTTCCTTAAATATATTTTTAATATTTTCTGCATATCCAAATTAACCTAATTTGCTCATTTATTCATCTACTTTCAATACGAAACTGCAGGGTATTACAATAATCCTGCCAATGTTCTTATCCATTTACAGTTTATCTGTAAATCTTCAATAAACCATTTCCATTGTTTTATATAAAAAAGTTTGTTCTCTTGATTTCTTATTCTTCCGGTAAGTTTCGCCATTTTTGTATATCCCATAAGTTTTTGTATCCATTCTTATTTTGCAGGAACATCTTCTTCTTTCCATTTTTGGGCAAGTAACATTCTTGCCTCTTTGGTCATATACATCAATAAGTTTCTATACAGTTAGGGTAGTTCTGCCCCTATAATTCACAAAGGAAAGCTTCTGGGTTTGTTTTGTTTGTTTACAAAAGTTATTTTATTTTATTTTTTTATGGATTTTCAAATTTTAAGAATTTTATAACATCGTCATATAACATCATTATATCATTCGCCCTGCCAAGCTCTTAATTTCCCTCCCTCCGTCTTTCTGGTTTTCTTATATTGCATTTTTATTTCCACACTTTTTTTTAACACCTCCATTCTATATCTGTCTTATATTATTAAACACTTTAATCACCAATAGAATGTCCCTTCTTTGAAACGTTGTGAGTTTTATCTCAGTCCTGCTAGTGTCTTTATACTGTATGTGTACAATGATTCTCTCTATATAATATAAATTTACTCCATTCTCTCTGGAACACTTAGTCGCTCTGGTTCTGGATTCTTCATTCATTCATTCATTCATTCATTCATTCAATCAATCAATCAATCAATCAATCTCATTCATTCATTCATTCAATCAATCAATCAATCATTCTCATTCATTCAATCATTCTCAATCAATCAATCAATCATTCATTCTCATTCATTCATTCAGTCAATCAATCATTCTCATTCATTCATTCATTCATTCAATCAGTCAATCAATCAATCAATCAATCAATCAATCATTCAATCATTCAATCATTCATTCAATCATTCAATCATTCTCATTCATTCAATAGCACCTTCAACAATTGACTTATACTTTTCTATCTGGACAATGTCCTTCTGTAATGCTTACCCAACACCCTCACATTAGTGCCTTCTGTAGGGGCACACCTGGGCTATGGCACAGATGTGAGAGTCCCCTAGTCCAGTGTGGGGGTAGCACCCCCTAATGGGTGGAGGGATTCCCTAATGGGGATTCGCCACTATGGCTCACAGTGGAATCAAGGGGCTCTCGTGCCAACAGGCACCAGAAAGAGGAAAGGCAGATCCTTGTGGGGTTGGGTGTGAAATAAAAAAAATTAAGGTCTTATATAAAAGATTCATATCTGCATATATAAACCACGTCTGAAACCCCACAGAAAAAGTCCCGAAACCATCTTGTCCCTCCCAAATTGACCTCAAATATTTGTCTGCAAGGTTGAAGGAAAATGGAAAAGCCTCCCCATTGTCTTTTCCTTCACAAATCCTGTCTTAAGGGTATATCTGTGTATGAATAGGGTGAGCCTGTGACCTGGCTCAGGAAATAAGTATTTGTCATTACAAAAGACTGGCCAGGCTCCCCAGGATATCCAATCAAGTAAGCATTAACAGGTAACCTGCCAGACAGGAGGTAAACAACGCACTCAGATTTCTGTTGTAGACCGCCTTTTCTGTGATGTAGGTATGATGTTTGTGGGGGGTGGTCTTGGGTTACACCCCTTCTGTGATGTATGTATGATGTATGGAGGGGTGGTCTTGAGCTCCAGGGAAGGGAATTTAAAATGTCTATATAAGGGGGGGGCGACACCTTTGTTCAGGGCCCTCCTCCTTTCCTACGTGTAAGAGGAGCACCCTGTTGCAACAGATCAATAAAGATCAGGCTTACTAGCTGCTTTGCTTCTCAATAATCTCTGGTTGGCCTCTGTTATTTTCTCCGACCGATGGAGAACCTGCAAAGGACTCTATAAGGGCTCTTGTGTCCCCCATAACGGAATAAGGGCAGATTTTTGTTTATTACAGGTGTCATCCTGACAAGAACCCCCCTTCTTACCTCACAGCGGCAGGTCCAGCACGGCTCTGGGCTCCAGTTCTCCCCTTCCTTCCGGCCGTCGGCACAGCCTGCAAAAGAGGGGTGGGGTGGTACTGAGTACTGAGGAGAAACTGCAACTGTTGAATTTCTTCCTGTGGCCAAGCTGTCAGCAATGATAGAATCATAGTATCACAGTTGGGAGGGACCTCTGGGGTCATCTAGTCCAACCCCCTGAAATTCAGGAATCTCATGCAAGACAGATGGCCTTCCAACCTCTCCAAGGAAGGAGAAGCCACAACCTGTCAAGGGAGACCGTTCCCCTGTCAAACGGCTCTTCCTGTCAGAAAGTTTTTCCTGATATTTAGTTGGAATCTCTTGTAACTTGAAGCCTTCTGGCGGTTCCCTCCCTGAGAGAAGTGAGGTTACAGGGAACCAGGCAGAGGGCCTTCTCGGTGGTGGCGCCTGCCCTGTGGAACGCCCTCCCACCAGATGTCAAGGCAATAAACAACTATTTTACTTTTAAAAGTCAACTGAAGGCGGCCCTATTTAGGGAAGTTTTTAATGTCTGACGCTGTATTGTTTTTAATATTTGGTTGGAAGCAGCCCAGAGTGGCTGGGAAAACCCAGCCAGATGGACGGGGTATTAATAATAATAATAATAATAATAATAATAATAATAATAGGACAATCGGGGCTTCAAAGAAGATTGGGAACTTTTTACGGACTATTTTAAAAAACAACAACAAAATGATTTGGACTCCGTGGCAGGTTTTGAATAAACACCCACAAATTTATTAGTAGAATATAGGACAGATGACGTTATGATATGTACAGTTTTTTACATGCAGAGAACAATACGTGCAAACAGATCAGAGAAGGGAGCTGAGGGAAGACTTGGGTTGGGTGCGGAGAGGGAGGGATGGGGGATAATAATAGGGGGGGGGATAAATGTAATTGATTATTTGAATAATTTGGTTGAAATTTGAAATTCTATAATAATAATAATAATAATAATAATAATAACCCAAGCTGCATGTAATAATAACCCAACCCCTTGCATGTACTCACCCAGACAGCGAGGCCGGTCGTGGCGCAGCGAGCACTCTGCTTTGCCATGCGCACACACGCAAGTGGTGCACAGGTCTCGATCCCAGGAAGCGCCATCCTCATAGCGCTGCCCTTCCCAGAGGCACGCCGGCCGCCGACACTCGCAGTCCTCCAGGGACTTCACGCGGCCCAGCAGGTCCGAATTCTGGGGAGGGAAAGACGAGGGACGCTGTGGGTGACTGGAGGGGTTACTCTGGATCCTAACAGGGGAGGAGGAGGTCCGAAGAACAAGGATCTGTCTCTCCCCCCCCCATGAAAGAATCGCATTTGATATTCAGGATAGAACCCGCTATTATGGAAATCGCGCTTCGCATCTGCGCAGATACGGTGTTTAAGATTGCGCTGTTTTCATGTTGTGAACGGGCCTCCGGAACGGATGCCGTTTGCAACCAGAGGTACCACTGTATTTGCAGTGCCTAGGTTTTATTTATTTATTTATTAAATATTTTCTTGATTTACAAAAGTGTGTGCAATGTCTCTCTCTCGTATTCCCGCCCCCATGTAACATTTTTACAAATCATTTTCATTTGTTGAGACATTAGGAAGAAAGAGGTGGAGGGGTGGTGGTGTCTGATGTACCGTATTTTTTGCTCGATAAGACTCCCTTTTTCCCTCCTAAAAAGTAAGGGGAAATGTGTGTGCGTCTTATGGAGCGAATGCAGGCTGCGCAGCTATCCCAGAAGCCAGAACAGCAAGAGGGATTGCTGCTTTCACTGCGCAGCGATCCCTCTTGCTGTTCTGGCTTCTGAGATTCAGAATATATTTTTCTTGTTTTCCTACTCCAAAAACTAGGTGCGTCATGTGGTCTGGTGCATCTTATAGCGCAATAAAGTTTATGATGATGGTGGTGATGATGATGATGAATGGACATATGGCAAAAATGCTGCTGTCACCAGATTCCTGTGGAGCCGGGGTTAGACTAGATGACCCCTGGGTCCACCCCTGAACTCTAAAATTCTGCGTGGTGGGATCTGAGCTTCCCTCACCTGCTCTTTAACCATGTCCAGCATCGTCCCCAGCCCGTCGACCAGCTCCTCCAGCCGCCGTATCCTATCCTGTGCGCTGGCTGCGCTGGATCTCGCTGGTCCCGGCGGTGGGAAGTCAGACTCACTTGGCTCCCGCTGGTAGTGGCGGATGTCCGTCAAGGCCGGTGGCTCAAGGGGTGGCGGAGAGTCCAGCTCAGGCAGGTGCTCGTCTGGTAGGTCCATATAGCGCTCCTCAGCTGTGGTGTAGGACAGAGGGAGGAGGTCTGGCTCTGCGGGTCAGCGAAAGGGAGAGAAAAAGGAGCAAATGGAATGGTCAAAGGGGTGGAGTGAGAGATTGCTTCTGCAAGGGTAACATTTGGTACTGGACCCAGTGCCCAGGACCATGTGAATTAAATTAAACTGAAAACTGTGCTTTGAGTCCTCAGGATTGCAGATACAGTGGTACCTCGGGATGCGAACAGGATCCATTCCGGAGACCCGTTCGCATCCAGAAGCAAACGTAACTAGCGATGGCACGTCTGCGCGCACGCGCGTCACTTTTCGCCGCTTCTGCGCATGAACGTGACGTCATTTTGAGCATCTGCGCATGCGCGAGCAGCAGCCTCGAAAATAATAAATTGCCGGAAGAAATATCAACAACCTCAGTTATGCAGATGACACAACCTTGATGGCAGAAAGTGAGGAGGAATTAAAGAACCTTTTAATGAGGGAGAAAGAGGAGAGCGCAAAATATGGTCTGAAGCTCAACATCAAAAAAACGAAGATCATGGCCACTGGTCCCATCACCTCCTGGCAAATAGAAGGGGGGAAAATGGAGGCAGTGAGAGATTTTACTTTCTTGGGCTCCATGATCACTGCAGATGGTGACAGCAGCCACGAAATTAAAAGACGCCTGCTTCTTGGGAGAAAAGCAATGACAAACCTAGACAGCATCTTAAAAAGCAGAGACATCACCTTGCCAACAAAGGGCCATATAGTTCAAGCTCTGGTTTTCCCAGTAGCGATGTATGGAAGTGAGAGCTGGACCATAAAGAAGGCTGATCGCCAAAGAATGGATGCTTTTGAATTCTGGTGCTGGAGGAGACTCTTGAGAGTCCCATGGACTGCGAGAAGATCAAACCTCTCCATTCTGAAGGAAACCAGCCCTGAGTGCTCACTGGAAGGACAGGTCCTGAAGCTGAGGCTCCACGACTTTGGCCACCTCATGAGAAGAGAAGACTCCCTGGAGAAGACCCTGATGTTGGGAAAGATGGAGGGCACAAGGAGAAGGGGACGGCAGAGGACGAGATGGTTGCACAGTGTTCTCGAAGGGACCAGCATGAGTTTGAGCAAAATGTGGGAGGCAGTGGAAGACAGGAGTGCCTGGCATGCTCTGGTCCAGGGGGTCACAAAGAGTTGGACTCGACTAAACAACAACAACCTTTTTTACAACCCAATCCACACTCAGGCCCCCAGCTGTACCAGGACAAATCAGATAACATCTCATCCTGCCTACAGTCAAGATGTAATTGACTCACACCTCTAGAGACCGGTAAAGGTAAAGGGACCCCTGACCATTAGGTCCAGTCGTGACCGACTCTGGGGTTGCGGCGCTCATCTCGCTTTATTGGCTGAGGGAGCCGGCGTACAGCTTCCGGGTCATGTGGTCAGCAGGACTAAGCTGCTTTTGGCAAACCAGAGCAGCACACGGAAATGCCGTTTACCTACCCGCCGGAGTGGTACCTATTTATCTACTTGCACTTTGATGTGCTTTCGAACTGCCAGGTTGGCAGGAGCAGGGACCGAGCAACGGGAGCTCACCCCGTGTCGGGTTTTCGAACCGCCAACCTTCTGATCGGCAAGTCCTAGGCTCTGTGGTTTAACCCACAGCGCCACCCGCGTCCCTTTAGAGACAGGTAGCTTTACGTTTAAAGAGACCAAACACCCATTCCCCAGAAGGCTACAGTTTTATCTCTCCCACAATGCCTCACTCCTGCGTGAACCAGTGTTTGACATACCAGGATTTCCCAACTTCACTACAGCCCTCCTCCCCTATGCCAGGTGTAATTTTATGAGATTCTGCCATGCTGTTTCTTGGCTTTTCTCAAAGCTAAAATGTCCCAAATCTCCATCCCTTTGATTGCTTGCCTTGCCCTCTGAAACCTTAAATTAAAAGGAAAAAGAACAAGAAGAAAGCTGTTCGTCCGGCCTCCCGCTGCCCCTTCATCTCTGGCGGGACTCCAGCCCTCCCGCTCCACCTGACCTCCATCTTGCGCAAAGACCCCTGATCCACCAACAGCAGCCTGGATCAGGGGGCACCCGGTGGGGTTGTGAAGCCTTGATCCCTCCCTCCCGGTGGCCCAGCGGGGTGGTGTACGTGTGGGCCCAGACACTGGGCAATTCCTCCTGCCCGGCTGACCCTTCCAGGGGGGCTGGAGGCCAGAAGCGCTTAATGAGCAGAAGGGGGCAAGTTGGGGGCAGCCAGAGCCGAGATGCTCATTAGACGCATGGATGGTTCAGGGCAGGCCTTGCCAGCAGTTGGGAGGAGGGGAAAGGAGTGGGAGAGCGCAGGAATGGTGGCCAGAAAAAGGACGGAGAGGTCAGGAGGAGAGGAGGAGATGTGGGCAATGCACAGGGCAGGGATGGCCATAGGTGCCAACTCCCTGGGGCACTGGGAGCCTGAGCACCCACAAAATTCCTAATAATAATAATAATTTATTATTTATACCCTGCCCATCTGGCTGGGCTTCCCCAGCCACTCTGGGCGGCTTCCAACAAAATATTAAAATACAGTAATGCCTCAAACATTAAAAGCTTCCCTAAACAGGGCTGCCTTCAGATGTCTTCTAAAAGTCTGGTAGTTGTTGTTCTCTTTGACAACTGGTGGGAGGGCGTTCCACAGGACTGGCGCCACCACCGAGAAGGCCCTCTGCCTGGTTCCCTGTAACTTGGCTTCTCGCAGCGAGGGAACCGCCAGAAGGCCCTCAGCGCTGGACCTCAGTGTCCAGGCAGAACGATGGGGGTGGAGATGCTCCTTCAGGTCTACCAGACTGAGGCTGTTTAGGGTTTAAAACGTCAGCACCAACACTTTGAATTGTGCTCGGAAACATACTGGGAGCCAGGCACCCACACATTTCAGTGCCAGGGCCATGCGCCCGTGGCCCCAGGCACCCACAGTCGCGGGGCCAGGTTGGCGCTCCTGGGAACAGCCAAGAGGTGCCCTCCTGATGATGTCATAGAACTGGAAGGGTCACCAAGGGTCATCTAGTCCAACCCCCACAACCAGGAATCTCGAACCCACAACGCCAAGATGAAGAGTCTCATGCTCTAGTGCAGGGGTCAGCAACCTTTTTCAGCCGTGGGCCGGTCCACCGTCCCTCAGACCTTGTGGGGGGTCGGAATATATTTTTTTGGGGGGGAATGAACGAATTCCTGTGCCCCACAAATAACCCAGAGATGCATTTTAAACAAAAGCACACATTCTACTCATGTAGAAACACCAGGCAGGCCCCACAAATAACCCAGAGGTACTTTGTTTTTTCGTGCTATGTTGTATTTGTTAAAAATTTGGAAAATCAATAAAAAATATTGGGGGGGGGGGGAGAACTTGCTCGATGCAAGAGCTGTTTGACGCCCACAGAAGGTGGTGGAGGATTGTCCCTCATTGGAGGTTTTTAAGATGGGATTCTTTAGCTGTGATCCCTACGTTTCAGGGGGTTGGGCTAGATGACCTTTGGGTGCATTCCAATTCTATAAATCAGTGATTTGGACAAAGACTTCAGAGGTGCCCAGTGCCCTTTTCCAGGGGGCAGCTTCTCAAACGCTTGGGAAATGTGGGGAGGAAGTGGGGGGATGAAACCAGCCCCCCCACTGATCACTGCAGCCTCTGGAACACAATGCTCACGCCAGAATTCCCGCAAAGCCCTCTGAATTTTAGCAGGGCTTAAAGGAACTTGCATCCAGCTCCGCAGCCACTGCCAGTCTGCAGTCAAAGGTCAAAATGTTCTGGCAGGCTCAGTCTGATGACCCTTCAGAAGCCTCTTTTCAGGTAATTAGCCAATTAATTACCCCGCCGCTGCCCCAAAGAGGTCAGGGGCAAAGAGTACGAGGTTTTTGAGAAATGAGGTTGAGCGCCGTAAATCCTTGAAGGAGGAACCATAGAATCTTAACATCTCAGAGCACAAAAACAGCTCACTGTTTTGCAAGTGGCATTCAAGCTCACGCCGGGAAGTTGAGTTTCTTAAACAGCTCTGTCGCCCCAACGCCTTGCGAAAGATATTGTAGAGGTGATATTGTAGAGCTGCCGCATTCTGGGTTAGTTGCAGTTTCTGGGTCACCTTCAAAGGAAGCCCCACATTGGTGTCAAAGGTTTGGTGTGAGGTCCTTTGCACCCGGCACAAGAGATGGTGGATTGGGCCCCATTTGAGGTGGAGTGGGAGAGGAAGCAACCTGCCCTCCTTTCAGTCTTGCACACAGGCTCGGAAACATACTGGGAGCCAATGTAGATCTTTCAAGACCGGTGTTATGTGGTGTCGGCGGCCGCTCCCAGTCACCAGTCTAGCTGCCGCATTCTGGATTAGTTGTAGTTTCCGGGTCACCTTCAAAGGTCGCCCCACATAGAGCGCATTGCAGTAGTCCAAGCGGGAGATAACCAGAGCATGCACCACTCTGGCGAGACAGTCCGCGGGCAAGGAGGGTCTCATCCTGCGTACTAGGTGGAGCTGGCAGACAGCTGTCCTGGACACACAATTGACCTGTGCCTCCATGGACAGCTGTGAGTCCAAAATGACCCCCAGGCTGCGCACCTGGTCCTTCAGGGGCACAGTGGCCCCATTCAGGACCAGGGAGTCCTCCACACCTGCCTGCCCCCGTTCCCCCAAAACAGTACTTCTGTCTTGTCAGGATTCAACCTCAATCTGTTAGCTACCATCGATCCTTCAACCATAAAAAGTGGTTTTTTAGTTGCAGTTTCCGGGTCACCTTCAAAGGTAGCCCCACATTGGTGTCAAAGGTTTGGTGTGAGGTCCTTTGTGCCTGGCACAAGAGATGGTGGATTGGGCCCCATTTGAGGTGGAGTGGGAGAGGAAGCAACCCACCCTCCTTTCAGTCTTGCATGCAGGGCCACGATCCACAGGGAAGGAGTTTCTCACGGGCTCAACGGCGGAGCATAGAATTATAGAACGGCCAAGTTAAAAGGGAACTCCAATGGTTAGAATCCCTTCAGCACATTATTGGATTTTATAATAGCATATCTAAGACGGTTGCATATTAAAAAACAGTTAAAGGAATT